CCTCTGTCCTTTATGTGGATTCTAGGGGTTGGACCCAGATATCGAGGCTCGCACAGCGAGTGTCTTTTTATCTGAGTCATTGCCAGTCCTTGATCGCCATTCTAGACTCTTGGTTGGCAGTGGGCACCTAGGAAGGAATAGAAGTCAAATCAAAAGGGGCAGTTAACGATGACAAACATTACCACAGTGTTTTCAATGTGTACTTTGTTAACATGAGTTTTATTTTCCTGTACTGAAATATGTCCTATCAAGGAATGAAAGCCTGTATTTATTAGTGACTTCCTGTCTCAGCAGCCCCCCTTTCGCCTCAGCAGTGTGGGGGCTTTTATCTCTGTATATGTAATATTCACATTGATTAATTAATTGATTAGACAAGTGTTTATTGAGCCTGTGCCTCTGTGTTTGGCATGATTCCAGGTGCTGGAGAGTAGGGGAACACGAGCAGCAAGCCCCGTGCTCGCACAGATCTTGAGCTGTGAAAGCAGGAGACAGACAGAAAACACACCAGAGAGCACCCGACACGTAGGAAGCTGTGCTGGAGCCAACCACGCAAAGATTTGCAGCGAGAGTGTTGCAGGCCCACCTCTACTCCTGCAAGTGTCCTATGGTGACCAGCACTCTGCAGTGGCGGGGCTCATGGCGCGCTCATTAAGTGAACTGACAGTCAGCTGGATGCCTATGCAGTCCTGCTGGTCAAGCCTTTGCCAGCAGACACTGGCCCTTCCAGCCTTATCACGCTATCAGTATTGATTATATATATGCAACATTTTTCTTTCAAAGTGCTTGATAAATAAGCAAGTGGCTGCCTTGGGTGGCCTTTTTTTTTTCTCTGATGTCCCTTGATCCTCCTGCCTCAGATAAGGCAGCTGCCAATTTCCCTTTCAAGGTGATAGTGCATCCAAGAGTGTCCCATGGGTCCCTTTTGCAGGCCTTCCATACTCTGCAGGTATTGTTGCTCAGTGTCTGTTTATAACAAACAGAGAGTTATAAGTCTCCGTGATATGGCCAAACATGGCACACATATGAAATATCTTCTGTGAAACAGAAGTCACCAGGCTGGCCATGTGTTCCTGTGCACGTATGGAAGTGGTGTGTTGTTCCCTTGGGCTCTTGCTGTCACCCTGATACAATTTACCCTTTGTTTAAGGAAAATGAGCAACTGTAGACAATAAGAGAACATTGGCAAGCCTGTGTGTTCAAGACCTGGAGAAACACAGAGGGAATAAAGGTGGGGGAGTCCACTAAGGTCAAAGCTATGATCACGTGGTCTCCAGGGTACAAATGACTATTTGTCTGTGGTCTTGTTGTTCTTGTTGATTGGGAGGAGAGGTGTTTTTCTGGTGTTGGGAATGGGAGCCCAGGCCCGTATGGACGTGACTTAGCTGTTTTTCTTGTCACTGTGAGAAAGGACTAGACAAAAACAACTTGAGCAAAAGGTCTTATTTTGCTTCATGGTTTGAAGGTCTAGTCAGTCATGGTGAGGAAGTCATGGCAACTTTAACTTGAGGTGGCTGCTCACATTGTAACCACTGTCAGGAAGCAGTCGGAGATGAATGCTGTTGTTCATCTCCTTTGTCCCCTTTAATTCCGTTTAGGATCCCAGTCTGTGAACTGGTACCAGCCAGTTAATATGAGGGTTCCCACTGCAATTAACCTAGTCTAGGAACTTGCTCACACACATGCCCAGAGGTTTGTCTCCAAGGTGATTGTCAATCCTGTTAAGCTGACAGCCACTATTACCCACCACAGCCTGCTAAGCACATGGTCGACCATGGAGCCTCCAGGCACCCACATCCTGAACCCTTTCCTATTAGGCGCAAGCCCATGTGTTTGGAAGGATCGGCATGCTGCTCATGTCGGGGGTTTCCTGCTCTTTAAATGGATGTTTTAGATTCGCCTAGAAGGTTAACTATTTCAAAATCTTGTCATAGCACATGTGGGTTTATAACTGATGGCTGTCATTGCCACATGGATGACTTGTGGTGTCCCGGTGACAGTGTGATACATTGTGATGCAGCCAGGAGTCAGCAATACATTGAAGTTTTAGTTTTTGTGGGCTTGTTGCTGTTCCCTGTTGTTCAATTGCTGTTTCCTGGGGGGCAGGGGGTGAGAAGACGCAGAGGCAAGGACACAGACTCCAAGAGATTCCAATGCAGAAGCTCTTTGTTGTAAAAAGGTGTATGTGTGTGTGTGTGGGGGGGGGGGGGTTGTGGGGTTAGAGAAATTAAGCAGCTGCAGGAACGTTTCTGGTTGGTCCTTTTGAAACTGGCAGTCACTGCTGGTGTGTTGTGATTGGCTAGGAGTGTACGTCATTAGTTACCATGCTTTTGGTCTGCTGACAGATTGTCTTGGCCAATTTTGCTTACTCGTTGTGAGTTTGCTTGCGCTATTGCCCTGCCTCACTACGTTATTTGGACATCTTGGCCACTGTAACTGTGAAGCACAGACAGCCTCTTTTCTTCATAGATGATCCAGTCTTGACTATTCGTTATAGCAACTGGAAATGGACTGAGACTGACCACCTCTGCCCCTTAGACTATGCTGCTCAGGCAGCTACCTAGTACTGACGCATGGGAATGATATCTTACTTGTACATGTGTTCGGGCCCCAGCTCTGCCGAGGAAACCTCAGCTGATGGATATGTGAGAAAGAAAGTGCTGGGCACTATTGTTGACAATGAGGGCAGTCGGTGGCCCTCTCTAAGGGAGGCAGAAAAGTCATTGTGTGGGTAGGGCTGAAAACCAGTGAGGGAAATTGAAAGAAATATTTACAAATCATATATCTTCTTTTTGTTTGTTTAGTTTTTGGTTTTGATTTTGCAAGACAGGGTTTCTCTGTAGCTATGGAGCCAGTCCTGGAACTAGCTCTTGTAGACCAGGCTGGCCTTGAACTCAGAGATCCACCTGCCTCTGCCTCCTGAGTGCTGGGATTAAAGGCATGTGCCACCACCGCCCAGCCTCACATATCTTAAAAGCATTCAATGTCTAGAATTTAAAACTATAACTAACTCAACAACACAGCCCAATTACAAATGGGTAGAGGATTTTACTATTTTTCCAAAGACGTATAAGTGGCCAATAGCCACATAAAAATATGTTCAGCTTCATTTGTTATATAGGAAATGCAGATGTTGGGATGGCACTTTAACCCACAGGGATGGCTATAATATAAAGACAGTGTTGGAGGCATTTGAGGGTTGGCAAGGATGCGGAGAAACTGGAGCCATTGTTTATGATGATAGGAATGTAACGTGAAGCATTCCCCGTGGAAACAGAGTCGTGTGCTTCTTCAACAGTTTAAAACAGAGCCGCCCAGTGACCTGGCAATGCCTTCTAGAATACGTTCTCAAGAGCAATGACAGCATGTGCCCCAGGAACCTGGACATGCATGTTCACGGTAGTGTTGTTAACAGCCAGGGTGTAGAAGCAACACGAGTCACCCATGTTTAGCATACATTGGTACCTCATTCCTTTTCCTACTGAAAACATTCCACTGCGTGGACATAGAGTCTAATGACCCATTTCTCAGATGGTAGACACACTCGTGGGGTGGGATAGGAAGAGGGGGCTATGGACTGCACCCCTCAAACACAATGAACACACCGATTGTGTGGTAGATTAATGGTGATAAATTAAATACTATGGAAGAAAGAAAAATGCAAGTGGCAAGGCCTATGTACAGCTTTGATTTCCCCAAAGACAGAGGCAGGGAGGGTTTCTGGACCTTTCTGAGGAGACCTAGAGTGGTGGCTAATGAAAGAGTGACCAGGAAGCCATGGTGGCTGGAAAAGTGGCTGAAGGCACAGTGGAAGAGTCCCTTGGCCCCAGGAGGCTTGGGCTATGCAAGGCTAGGAGGCCGCGGAAAGGGCCTTGGGTTGGGGAGAAGTTCAGGAGTGAAGTGCTTCCCACACAAGTGTGATGACCTGTGTTTGGTCCCGAGCACCTGTGTAAAAGGCAGGGCATGCTAGTGCACATCTCTAATAAAACCACAGGGGAGGCAGAGACCCAAGAACCCCGGGGCTCCCTGAGCTCAGCGTCATCTGTGAGAACTACTATCTCAACAACAACAACAAAGAACAAAAAACCAATAAAACAAGGTGGAGGTTTCCTAAGGAACAACACTGAAGGTCAAATTCTGTTCTCCACACATGCATGCACGCACACACACACACGTGCACACAAAAACATGCACACACTCAGACATGTACACGTACACACACAGTAGCACATGCACCCACACACCCTTGAGCATGTACCTACACACAAGGACACACACACACACAGACACACTACACATCCACAAATATCACAAACCTTGTATCTACCCTTTAAGTTTAGCCTTCAGTGACTTTAGGACGTTCAGGTTTGTATAAACATCATATTAACTTCAGAATATATTCATCATTCCCAAAAGAAGCGGTCTACCTTCTAATACGTCACTCTGTCCTCTCCCTCCTCCAATCCCCCCACCGGTCTCTTTTCTGCATATCTACGTGATGGAGGACTGGCCTGTTCTACTCATCTCATAATGGAATCTTGTACTATGTCAGCTTCTGTGGATGGCTTCTCTCACTTAACTGGACGCTCTGAAATCCACCCATGTTGTGGCCTATATTGTTAGTGCCTCATCCCTTTTTATGTCTTTATAATATTTCATCTCATGCACACACTGCCCATTTCAGTGCTTCATCCCTTTGTATGTCTTTGTAATATTCTGTGTGTGCACACACTGCACATTGTTTATCTATTTACTTGTACTGAGCCTAAGGTGGCTACACTTCCTGCCCCTAAGGATGCGGCTGTGAAAGACAGCGCACACGTTTTAGTGTGAGTGCACATGTTCATTTACTTAGCATGTGTCTCGGAGTGGGAGGATTTACCTCCTACCTCATGTGAAATGGGGCGCCGTAGCAGGTTCCTGACGCGATCTGACCTTCACGTCGGCTGGTGCCTCCTCTGGCTGCCTGTTGAGTGAAATAGACCACCGGTGGGTTGGTAATCATGGGTGTAAATGAGGCCAATGCGGAGCTAACTGCCGTGGTTCAGGTGAGAGAGAATGGTGGCTCAGACCAGGGCAGAAGCAGCGAACACGTGGAGGGTGTCAGGTTCGGGACGTATTTTAAGGACAGCCAGAATTTCCGCTTAGTGGAGTGAGTACAGACAGAGGTCAGCCTTAGCTGTCCTTAACTTTGGCTCCGTCTCCTAGGAGAACGGCGCAACTGTGAAGTGGGGCGAGAGAGGCACACACGAGGGTCAGGAACTCGGCTCACACGGAACAAGGTTAAGATGGTCACAGACGTCCGTGGGGAGATGACAGGCAGGTGGATGAATGAGTCTGGAGTTCAGGAAGTTGTCTGGGCTGCCGATATAAATTTGGGGATCTTTGGCATGTTGATGGTATTTAGAGCCACGAGGTGGAACAGTCATTGAGTTCCCATTTGTTTGAAGGGGACAGCACACTTGCATGTGGCTAGAGCACGAGCCTTTCTTCCACACAGAGTTCCAACAATGACCTCATGTTATAACTGGAAACACACATCGAAGATAAGCTTCCCTCTAGAGAATGTGGGTTTGAGCATGGTAAAATACTAGTCCTCCGGGCATAAATTAGAAGACTCATTCATTAATATCTCAGGGCTATGCATCAATATTGGATTCAATATCTCATGATGTTTTCTAACCGTTCTCTGCTTCCACGTACACCTCAGCTTGTGATGCACAAAGAAACAAGAATCATATTTGATTCTGATACCAATAAAAAAAGCAGTAACCTTGCCTACCGTTAGTAAGACATGGGATTTCCTAGTACCAAAAGTAGTGTGGCAGCTGAGGGAAAGAAAATGATCTCTTGTGAATAGAGAAAAAAATAATCAACTAACGAATGAAGGAAAGTAATAATCAAAGACAAAAGAGAGTGTCCTGGGGCGATAGTGCAGTTGGTAAGGGGCATTGAGGCCCTGCTTGGTCCCCAGCACTCACCTGTGAAGAGCTGGGTGCAGTGGTAACCCCATCTGTAACACCAGCGCTGGTGGAGGAAGGGGAGAATGGAGACCGGTAGTCACTCCAGCTGAACTGGTGAGCTCCAGCTTCAATGAGAGACCCTGTCTCAAAATATAAGCTGGTGAGTGACCAAGGCGGGCCTCCTACACTCCCACATGAACATGTACACACAACACATACCAAGTCGAAAGGAGCCTGCCTGGCCCAGAAACTGTGTCCGGTAGGAATAACCGAAGAGGTGAGAGGGCTTAGCCCAAGGAAGACTGAAGACAAGAGAAACAGGAATTTGATTCAGTTGTGTGATACTCTATCAGATGGGTCCAACCTGTGACCCATGGGCCACATGTGACCCACAGTGACCGTGAACATGGCTCAACACCAAGTTGGAAACGTACTTAGAACAGTATGACCTGGGGTGAGTTTGGTTACTTTTGCTTCTTTCAACTCAGTTGCACAATTATTGAGCATGAACCCCCACACAACCAAGAGCAGTAGTGTGTGTTTCTAATCCCAGCCTGCGCGTGGTAAGGTCAGGGCAGAAATAGGCAGGTCATGGGCCAGCTACCCTGGGGCGCACAGTGGCAGACACTAGAGACCCTGTTAAAAAGGAAGAAGGTAAGAACCCATACCCAAGATTATCCTCTAACTCCCTACATGTGTTGTGGCTTGTGCACACCTACACACACACACACACACACACACACACAACACACAACACACAACACACACAAGAATTGGGTCAGCAGAGCGGGTGCTGCATCCCGATGGCCTTTCTCAGTAATCCTCAACAAGATCTGCCCTGAGGACTTCGGCGGTAGACCCGGGCAGGCTCTGTCTCCAACAGTGTCTGTACACAGAGGGGATGGGCTTCTGGCAGACAGTGAGGGCTGTTTTGACCTCTGCAGTAAAGTGGGTTTTCTTCCCTGAAAGGCCACAGTCCAGTGTGCTGTTTAACCAGCGTGGGTCCTGGTTCCACCAGTGCTCTCCAGGAGTTGGAGCTGGGATAGCTTTTAGACACGCAGAGTCACTGCTGGCTTAGCAGAAAACAAGCAAACAACGCCCCCACCCCAAACACCAGAGTGGGTCTTTGAGTGGGTCTGGTTCTGTAGAGGATGTTAGAGTATTTATCATATGTGTTCCAAGTCTTAGAGTAGTTTAATCCTAACACTTTAAGGAAGCTTGAGAAGAAAGACAGGAGGATTTAAAGTTTGGCTACAAACCCATGGGATATTTAAATATGCTCATTTGAAAGGGCCCAGACAATGACTGGTCCAACGTTGTCCTTTTATAGAGAAGGAGACTGGTGACCCCGCTGGTGGCTCACTTAGGGCCAGTGGCATGCAGCGCACCTTCCCTCTGTGTTCTGGCCCCAGTGCTCTCCCATCCACAGCTTCACTGTGGGACCAACTACTGCCAGCACAGGCGTCTCTCCCGTGCTCCAGGCACTGTGCCTGCTCCACATGCTTTTCCTTATTTAAAATGCTGCGGTCACGTGTCTAGGATTTTATTTCCAGCTCTGCTCTTTGTTGTCCCTCTTTTGATTTGAATGAAGTTATTGAAAATCTCTGACCCTTGTTTCTCTTTCCTTAAAAAAAAAAAAAATAGCTGGGCAGTGTGGCGCACACCTTTAATCCCAGCACTTTGGAGGCAGAGGCAGGTGGGGCTCTAGTTTGAGATCAGCCTGGTCTACAAAGTGAGTTCAAATCAAGACTACACGGAGAAACCCTGTCTTGAAAATAAAGATAAGACATAATTAAAATAAAATAAAATAAAAAGGAATAAAGGGCACAGGCTCAGCCTCTTAATTTTCCACAATTATCATTAGCCTTATAACAAGAAATGTGAAAATAATATTATCTTTGGATAATGTTCAAATGTATATTTTGATAATTTGAGCTAAGACAAGAATGCTATTAGGTTCCACATATCAAAATAAAGAGGTTGAGGGGAAAACCTCAGGGAGTAAAGCACTTTCTTTGCAAGTATGAGGACCAGAGTTCAGATCCTATGTAAATCCAAGCGTGGTCTTGGGCATCTATGATCCCAGCAGATTTATGTGGAGTGATTAGAGCTGAGACAGGAAGCTTGTGGGCCAGCCATGCAGCCTCTGACCTTGTCTCAAAAGGTGGAAGGTCAGAACTCAGACCCAGGATTGTCCTCTGACCTCTACATGCACATCGTGGCATGTGTGCACCTGCCTTCACATACATGTAAACATACATACACCCATCTTATACACAAAATTATTAAAACTAAAACAAAGCAAAAAAAAAAAAAAACTCCTGAAAAATGAGACCTGAGGTGATCTTCTGACCTCCACACAGATTTTCTGGCATGCTTACACTTGAACACAAAAACACTCACAGATGAACAAGTGCACACACACACACACACACACACACACACACACACACACACCTATAAAAGAGGTTAGCTAGGATGGCAGGCTGAAATGACCCCTGCCCCTGTTCAAGGACGTGGCTTTTATGAATTACTCCCAAAGGGACCTAACTACCTCTCAGGACTAAGAGAGGCTCATCTCCATCATGATGCCAGTGCTCATCAGAGAACACCGGAAGTCATCGTTTCTACCCAGCAGTGGGAAATATGTAACATTTTTTATTTCTTAAAATAAAACCACGAAATACAACCAAAGAGCACCTGTCTGTGGTATCTTTAAAGCACTTCTCCCTTGAGAAGAAGCAGCTGTTAGAGCCAGCGCTCAACCACATGGTTTTTCTCTTGTGTTTCTTGCTATACGGATCTCTCCATGAGCAGCGGCTGGCAGGGGCCTCTCTGCCCACAGCACCAGCCCGACTGGCACAGGAATCGTTTCAGGTTCTGTTCCCATGTTTCAGTCAATCTGTCTAGGGAACAGTGGTACTCCCAAAACACTCAAATGCTCACTTGTCACATAAAGGGATAAAGTACAGTTTCAGGCTTCTATGTTTGGACTGTTTCCTCCACTCCCCTCCACAGACCCTCCCCCACCCCGGGAAAGCAGCACCACCACTGGGGCCCCGTTGTTGGGAGCCCTTCAGTGAAGTGGGAATTGCAGCAGATTCTTCAGAAAGGCTCCCACATCCATCCCCACACTGCAGAGACCTGTGTGCTGACCATTGCTTCCTGTCCCCAGACCTTTGATCTCCACATGAAACTAATGTGTCTTTGCCTGGTACATCAGACTGCCTGTCGACTCCCGATAGAGACAAGGACAAGATCTTGCAACAAGTGACTGCAGGTGTGACCAAGTGCCAATTATTGTCTTAAGAGGTGAATACAATGTTATCATTACCAGTTCTAAAATGTAGCCTTTCTGAATTCCCAAGAGCCCCTGGACTAGAATCCGGCCTGCAGACCTTGACAAATGTCCCCTGCTATTGGAGCAGGCTCTGGTTTGCTGCTATTGGAGCAGGCTCTGGTTTGTTGTGGTATCACGTGGCCCTCTTCCTGCTCCCCAGTGCCACTGCAGCATCTGACCAAACAGAACTCTTTGGGGAACCATGTGTGTTTTTGACATTCTTGCCAATGAAGCCCAGAGCCGAGAGTGAGGCAGAAGGGGAGTAGGTGGTGGGGGGAAGCAAATGGGCCAGCTCTGTCTGATTCCGTGAGTAAGGACAGAATGGGATACTAAACAGGCAATTTAGTGGGGAAATACTCAGTTTTAAGATAGAACTTTAAGAACTCATTCTTTGAGATGCCTAAGAGAAGGCATGACTGGGAAGAGGGGGGCGCTGGATGGACACCCCAAAGGACTTGCTTTACTGGTTGCCTGGGAGGTCTAGTTCCTGTATTCCTCTCCTGCCTCCTGCCTGGCTGGGTGTTCTCACTCACTGGAGGTGTGTATGTGTGCAGAAGAAATGTATTATGATTCACAGTTCCAATGGAGCTATGAGAACACACATGGCCTCTGTTGTTGGCACTGCTGTATGGGAGCACAGGGAGGGGACTCATGAGGAACGAGGTGGTTTCTAGGAACGTGACCCTTCATCAGTTCAAGCAAACTGACTATGTACCATTCAAGTACAACAGTCCCAGGGCAGAGGCTAGGCCTCTTGCTCTCACCCTCCTAGTTGTGATTGCCTGGGAAGTGAAGGAGGTGCTGGTCAAACTCAAGTCCACCTTTCCCCGCTACCCCATATCTAGGTCC